TTTGAGTTTTGTTTCACATTTTTTCCCGCTATTCGGGACCTGCTAACGTGATCCCCTTTCAGTGCAGTTGGTAGTGGTAGCCAGGCACCATCTAGTTCTTCTGGTCTCCAGACTCATGGAGACTGATAGTCACATGTTCCATTAGTCCATTGAACTAATTGATTCCAAGTCTCTTCAGTTCTTATCACTCTTCTTTCTTCCTCACATGGAGAGACCAATAGCTGTACCCTAGGTGGCCATTCATGAACTCTCAAGATCCCAAATGCTACTCACCAAAGAAGGATGTACAACGTTGTCTTTGTGGACTATGTTATACCAATTTACCATGATGTGCCCCCTGAAATTATGGTTCTGAGTCCCCAGGCCCAACAATTCATTACTTTAAGATGTTTGATAATATCTAGGACGTTTTTATCATCTTGACTGTTATGTGATTCACCACATTCATAGTTATGTTTTCAGGAAAGGTAGATACTCATGTACAACTATCCTCTTTCAAACTCTTTGTGTGTGTGTGTGTGTGTGTGTGTGTGTGTGTGTGTGTGTGTGTGTGTGTATAAAGTACCATCGAGTCGGCTTCAACTCAGCAATCCTGTATAGGTTTTCTGAGGAGCAGCTGGTGAATTTGAGTCACTGACCTTGCAGTTCAAACCAACTTTGTGGTCCAGTGCTTATCCTATAATGCCACACCAGGACTCCATATATATCTATATAATATCCCACTCTTCCTCCCTTTCAGTCTTGTTGCAAGGTTGTGTATATATCATTATTTACCTCTGTTCCCTTCAGCCTATGCATACCTCTCCCCTTCCTCCCATCCCTGGTAACCATCAAAGAATGTTTCTTTTAATATAATGAAGACTGTACTCTATCTTGATCAGTATATTAAGTCCTCTTTGCTTTCAGCAAGCAAGATTGTATCATCTTCACATCATAGGTTCTTAACGAGTATTCTTCCAATTCTGATGCCATGTTCTTCATATAAACCAGCTTCTCTTGCAATTTGCTTAGCCTACAGATTGAATTAGTATGGTGAAAAGATACAGTACTGGTTCATACTTTTCCTGATTGTCAGTATCCCCTCATTCTGTTCTAATAACTGCCTTTTGGTCATATTTTGGTTTTGGGGGACTTGTTTTCATTTTCTTCAGCTTCAGCCTGAACTTGGATTTGAGCTGTTGGTAGTCTGTTCCACAGTCTGCTCCTGGCCTTGTTTTGGCTGATGATACTGCACTTTTTTACTGTCTTTTCCCACAAATGTAGCCAATTTGATTCCTGTGTATTCCATCTGATGAAGTCCATATGTATAGGTCACCTTTTATGTTATTGAAAAAAACCTATTTGCAGTGATTAAGTCATTGGTTTTGCAAAATTCTGTCAAGCACTCCAGCATCATTTCTGTTCACCACAGCCACATTTTTAACTACTGAGACTTCCTCTTTGTTTCCAACCTATGCATTCCAATCGCCAATAATTATCAATACATCTTGATTGCATGCTTGATCAGTTTCAAACTGCATAAGTTGTTACAATTCTTCATCACTGGTTTTAGTAGTTGGTGCATAGATTTGAATGAGTGATATTAAATGGTCTTCCTTGTAGGCGTATGGATATTATCATATCACAGACGGCATTGTACTTTAAGCTAGATCTTGAAATGTTCTTTTTGGTGATGAATGTGATGCCATTTCTCTTCAATTTGTCATTCCCACCATAGTAAACTATAAGATTGTCTGATTCAAAATGGCCAATACTAGTTCATTTCAGTTCACCCATGTCTAGAATATTGTTTTTTAGAAATACATTTTTGACAGCTTCTAATTTTCCTAGACTCATACTTTGCACAATCCATGTTCTGCTTATTAAGGGATATTTGCAGCTATTTCTCTTCATTTTGAGTTGTGCCCCATCAGCAAATGAAGGACCTGAAAGTTTTATTTCATTTATGTCTTTATGGCCAATGCTTCTTTGAGAGCTGACCATAATGATGTGAATGGAGTCAAATAATAGGCCTGTAAAGTGAACAGTAACACTTGTGAGGTGCTTGCTCCCCAGAACAGTTAATCATAGGCTATCAAAAGGGCAGCAGTTTCCCTAAAACAAAATGCAGTAAGTAGAAAGGGTCAGAAAAGAAACAAATGCAATTGAGGAACCCAGGGAGAAAGTGGGAAGAGTGCTGTTAACGTTGGAGGGATTGCAACTAATGTCACAAAAAGAAAATGTATATAAATTGTTCATTGGCAAACTTTTGGCAAAATTTACAGAGCTTTTAATTTGCGCTGTAAACTTTCACCCAAACCACAATAAAATTTTCTCTGAAAAACAGGAACTCAGAAACCAACTTGTAGAGACTTCTAGTGGCCACAGATGGGACATCAAAAGGGATAGTAACTGCAGTAGACTGAAACACATCAAGTATGACTAAATCTAGTAGTTGATAATGATCCTTTTAAAAAACAAAAATTCTGTATTTGTATGATACTAGGGAACAAGTTCACTGTTTGCGAAATTGGTAAATAAAGGGAAAGAACTGAGGAGCATATGACCTGCTTTTCCTGTGCAAACTGCACCTCAAGTTTACCAAGTAATTGATTAGCATGAAGTTTTTCTCTTTATTAACTGAAGGAGTGATAGATTGTCACCATTTACAAACCTTAAAAGATCATGTATATTGTTCATCCATTGCTGCTAATATCACAAAAATCGAAGATATCACATGCTCCTGATGGCCACCACAAAGTCTTCTTAAAAAAACAATAAAACTGAAATATGATAGCGTCTTTCTATTTAGTTGCCAATTTATAGGAATTGCTGTAGTGTTTCCCGTAAGTTTGCGATAGGGAAGCATGTTGAACAAAACCATGGGGATGTAATCAAGAAAATCTGGACTGGGTAAACTGAACTCCAGTTGATTTCATTTCTTTTACAAATACACACACATGTGTGCATATGGGAGCATGAGGGTTCCATACGATAAGTATTGGACTGCAAACCATAAGGTCTGAGGTGCAATCACACTAGCCACTCCCTAGGAGAAAGAGGAGGCTTTCTGCTTGCACAAAGATTTAAAGCCTCAGAAACCCTGTATATGGTCACTATGAGTCAAAACCAACTTGAACATATAAATATGGTTTATATTAGTGGTGTGTCAGGTTGAATTTGTGTTGTTAAAAGAGATAAATCCCAATAGCATATTGGGGACAATACTGATTGGAGTAAAATGTTCTGGGGACCTTGTGTTGTTTGGGAGAAATGTAAATATTCTGATGAAAGTAAATCTTCATAAATTAAGTATGTATCTTAAAATTCTTTCTGACCATTAAAAGACTAGTAGTGGTGGTGATGGTTGTTATGTGCCGTGGAGTCGGTTCCAACTCATAATGACCCTGTATAGTGTTTCCAAGACTGTAAATCTGTACAGGAGCAGAAAGCCTCATCTTTCTCCCGCAGAACAGCTGGTAGTTTTGAACTGACGACCTTAAGGTTAGCAACCCAATTCGTAACCACTACGCTACCAGAGCTCCTTTAACTAATGGTACATGGAGGGAATTGCAATCATTATAGTGAAATGAAGTATATGATTTGTTGAATGTGGGACTGATCTGCTCTGTAAACTTCACTCAATTTACAATAAAAAGTTAAGGTAAAATAAGATAATATGAATTCAATGATATCAATCTCAATACATATAAAAAGAGTAAAGTATGATAACATTGAAGATTGGCACCCTGGAAAAGAAAAGCCAATTATATATCCATGTGAGAGACATCTAAAGCTCTTAAGAGAAGAGTTGAACTACTTTTTAAAAACTATTTATTGTGAATTGAACGAAGGTTTACAAACAAGATCCTCAGTTTTACTTTCAGCAAATCATACACTTTGTTTCATCTCAGTGATTACAATCCCTTCCATGAAACCAGTTATCCCACATTCTTCCTGTGGTTCCTATTTCCATTCCACTCTTGAATTTGTCCTTAAGTAAATTGTTGCCCTTTTGATCTTGAATGATTGACCATTCCATGGTGAGCATACCTTTCTAGTGTTGTTGTCCCCACTGTATACCTACCCTGCTTTGCTGAAAATTGGGCCATGAGGGTAAGTTATATTCTGGACCTGAAGGGTAGTCGAGGACCATAGTTTCAGGTCCCTCCAGTGTCTTTCTGACCAGTAAGCCTGATATTTTAAAATAATTTTGACGTTCGTTCCATATTTTCTTCCAGGATACCAAGGACTTTCTAATGTGATCTCTTTTAGTCATGCCAACTTCTAGGTTAGCAACACAAGGAAGAACATCAGTGGTCACACCAGCGCTCAGTGCCTTGAACAAGAAATCACACATGTCAACTCCGCTCAACCTTGTGATCTGTGCTAACTAACCATGTGGCCCAACCTAATGGGAAATGTGGGGACACAGGATAGCAGGGACACGTATGGAGCAATTGTTTTCTTGACTATAATTCTAAAGGGCTTTCTATTCACCAAGTACACAGATATCTTCATAAAGAACATTACTTTGTTTCACTTCGTTATCTAGTGTTGTTATAATGGAAATATTCCACAAATGGATGGTTTTAATCATCAGAAACTTATTTTCTCTGTTGGGAGGATAGAAGTTAGAAATCTGAGTTCAGTAAGCCTAGCATTCCTTGGAGATCTTTGTATGTCTTGGCTTCAATCTTCCTCTGGATCTAGGAGCCTGACCGTGCAAGGACCCCAGTCCGCACATTCCCCTCCCAGCTCTTCTTTCTTGGTGGCAGTAGTTCCCTCTAATTTTCATCTACTTTTAAAGAATTAGTATACAGACCATATTCACTAAGCACAACTCGCTTAAGTTGGAAGACAGTAATAAACCAAAACATATCTAACTAGAAAAAATAAACGTTATGTTTGAAAATTAAGAAACACAAATCATGGGTCAAACTAGTTAAAATAATGGAAATTAGAGTTAAGGAACCAATCTCTGAAGAAAGCATGATGACTTTATTTTTTTCTCCTTTCAGGTTAAAGAAGAAGGAGTTCAGTTTAGAGGAAATATATACGAACAAGAATTATAAGTCCCCACCTGCTAACAGGTAAGTACACTCAGCCGCAAAGGAATCAGTTGGGAAGACTTCTGAAATGGTAGATGTAAATATCCAATCCTTTTACTTCAGAAAGGGCTATGTTCGCTTCTACAGCGTCTGGTCCTTTAAAGCTGCTATGCTGCTTTTATTTCTCAATCACATGAATTAAGTATGTGGTAAGAGTGGGAAAGAATGTGTGTTGGATTAAATAGATCCAGTAAGTATAGTCTCCTGTTAGAGTTTGTGCTTTTATTAACTATACTATGTCTTCAGGTAAACCTCAGAACCCAAATAGAGTAGCTGTGTCAGTTGCTCACATTAGGCTTATTGTATGTACAGTGTGGCAGGAGGAGTTTCAGGATTTTATCCTATAAGATTCATTTGTACGTGTGCACTAAAACTATTGGTAGAAGAGTGTTCATTCAAGCAATGTTAAATAATAGTACCACTACTCCTCTATCAGTTTTTCATAATGTGGTGGCTTGTGTATTGCTGTGATGCTGGAAGCTATGACACCAGTATATTAAATACCAGCAGGGCCACTTATGATGGACAGGTTTCAGCAGAGCTCCCAGACTAAGACAGACTAGGAAGAAGGAGAGGCAGACCTTTTCTGATTGGCTGGCCACTGAAAACCTTATAGTAGAGACAGCAGAACATTGTCAGAGGTAGTGCTGGAAGCCCCTCAGGTTGAAAGGCATTTAAAATATGACGGGATAGGAACTGCCTCCTCAGAATAGAGTTGCTCTTAATGATGTGTATGGAGCAAAGCTTTCAGGATCCTTCATTTGCTTATGAGGCACAACTGATTTTGCAAAGAAACAATTGCAAATATCCATTAATAATTGGAATGTGCAATGTATGAATCTAGGAAAGTTGAGAGTCATCAAAATTTAAATGGAATGCATAAAGATCATAGACTTTTTAAATGAATTGAAGTGAATTGGTATTGGCCATTTTGAATCAGACATCATGTGGTTTATTATTTGAATCAGACATCATGTGACAAGTAGAAAAGGAATAGTGTCACATTCTTTCTCAAAAAGATCATTTCTGGGTCTATCTTGAAGTACCATGCTGTCTGTGGTAGGTACTTAATAACAATAATAAACAGGGAAGGCCAGTTAATACCACTATTACTCAGATTTACTCATTAACTACTAAAGCCAGTGATGATAAAATTGAATTCTACCAGCTTCTTCAGTCTGAAATTGAACAAATATATAATCAAGACACATTCTTAATTACTGGAGATTGAAATATGAAAATTAGAAACAAAGAGGAATGATCACTATTTAGAAAATATGGTCTTGATGATAGATGCTGGAGATAGCATGAAAGAATTTGCAAGACTAACAAGTTCTTCATTGCAGATACCTTTTTTCAACAACATATAAATGGCAACTATATATGTGAATCTCACCAGATGGAACACATACAGATCAAATTGACTGCATCTGTGAGACGAGATGATGGAGAAGCTCAATATCATCGGCCAAAACAAGGCCTCATTCTCAAGGCTGTGGAACAGACCATCAGTTGCTCATATGCAAGTTCAGGCTGAAGTTGAAGACCTTATTTTAGAGAGTATTTCAAAAACAAATTTCATGCATTATATACTAATGATCAAAGACCAGAGGAGTTGTGAAATGACATCAAGACCATCATCGATGAAGAAAGTAAAAGATCATAAAAAAGATTGGAAAGACAGAAAGAAAAACAAAATGGATGTCAGAAAAAGATTCTGAAATGTGCATTTGAGCATAGAGATACTAAAGCACATGGATGCGAAAGTTGGACAGTGAATTGATGCCTTTGAGTTGTGGTATTGGAGGAGAATACTGAAAGTGCCGTGGACTACCAAAAGAACCAATAGATCTGTTTTGGAAGAAGTGCAGCCAGAGTGCTCCTTAGAGGCCAGGATGGCTAAGCTTCGCCTCTCATACTTTGGACATGTTGTCAGGAGGGAACAGTCACTGGAGAAGGATATTATGCTGGGTAAGACGGAGGGTCAGAGAAAAAGAGGAAGACCCCCAACGAGATGGATCGGCCAGGTGGCATCATTGATGGCATCAAGTGTGGCAGCGGTAGTGAGGTTGGCCCAGGATCGAACATTGTTTCGTTCTGCTGTGCATGGGGTCACTATGAGTTGGTTCCGACTCGATGGCACCTGACAACAACAACAACATACTAAAGCAACTGGAAGAAGTGAGACAGTAAGAGAACTGAACACAAGATTTCAAAGGGCAATTCAAGAAGACAGTTAAGTATTATTATGAAATGTGCAAAACCTGGAGTTAGAAAACCAAAAGGCATTTGTCAGCCTTAAAGTAGTAAAAAAAAAATTCAGGCATTGGACTGCAAAATTGAAGGATTTGATTGGCAAAATATTGAATGATGCAAAAACATCAAAAGAAGATAGAAGAAGTATAGTCACTGTACAAAAATGGATAGGTTGATGCTCAGCCATTTTAAGAGGTAGCATATAATCAAGAATTGATGGTATTGAAGGAAGAAGCCCAAACTACACTGAAGGCATTGGCAAGAAACAAGATTCTACAAATTGGTGGAATACAAATTGAAATGTTTCAACAGTTTGAAGCAGCATTGGAGGTACTTACTTGTCTGTGCCAAGAAATTTGGAAGGAAATTGGAGGAGGTGCCATTCCTATTGCCAAGAAAAGTGATCGCTTGAATGTGAAAATCATCAAACAATATCATTAGTATCACATGCAAGTAAAATTTTTCTGAAGATAATTCAAAAACAGTTTTAGCAGTCCATCAACAGGAAGTTGCCAAAAGTTCAAGCTGGATTCAGATAAGGTCATAGAACTAGGGATTATCATTGTTAACACCAAATGAGTCTTTGCTAAAAGCAGAGGATATCTCAGAGATGTTTACATGTGCTTTATTGACTGTGCAAAGGCTTTTAATTGTGTGGATCATAACAAACTATGAATAACATTGCAAAGAATGGGTATTCCAGAACACTTAATTGTGCTCTTGAGAAATCTGTGCATAGACGAAGAGGTAGTCATTTGAACAGAACAGTGGGCTGCTGAATGGTGTAAAATCAGGAAAGGTGTACACCAGGATTGTATTCTTTTTTCATATTTACTCAATATATACTGAACAAATAATCTGAGAAATTGGATTATATGAAAAAGAACATGGCATCAGGATTGGAGGAAGACTCATTAAGAACCCATGATATGCAGACGATACAACCTTGCTTGTTGGAAGCGAAGAGGACTTGATGAAGCTGAAGATCAAAGACTACAGCTTTAGTATGGATTGCACCTCAGTTTAAACAACAAAAATTCTTATAACTGGACCAATAAATAGCATGATAAATGAAGACGAGATTAAAGTTGCCAAAGACTTTCTGGGATCCACAATGAGCACTCATGGAAGCAGCAGTCAAGAAATCAAAAACTACATGCATAAGGCAAATCTACTGCAAAACACTTTTTTTAAAGTGATAAGGAGCAAAGATGTCAGTTTGAGGACTAACTCAAAATACCTGATATTTTCAAATGCATGTGAAAGTTGGACAATAAATAAGGAAGAGAATACATGTGAAAGTTGGACAGTAAATAAAGTAGAAGAATCAATGCATTTGAATTGTGGCCTGGTGAAGAATATTCACAGCTCTGAGGACTGCCAGAAGAACCAACAAATCTGTCTTGGAAGAAGTATAGGCAGAATGCTCCTTGGGAGCGTGGGTAGTGAGACTTTATCTCTCATACTTTGGACCTGTTCTTAGGAGGGATCAGTCCCTGAAGAAAGACATCATGCTTGGTAAAGTGAAGAGCCAGCAATAAAAGGAAGACCCCCCCCTCCCCTAAGATGCCCAACGAAATGGATTGAGACAGTTAAAGATACAATGAGCTCAAGCATAACAATTGTGAGGATGCCACAGGACTTTGCAATGTTTTGTTCTGTTGTTCATAGAATCACTATGAATTGGATCTGACTGACAACACCTAACAACAACAATAACAAATCATCGTAAGGGATTAGGAACAACCTAAATATAAATTAATTGGCATCTTGTTATATATATAGTGTTATATATATAGTGGAATACTTTGTGCAACTGTTATTAAGAGTGGATTAATATTCCTGAGCATTTTTGTGTACATCCTACCCCCTAAAGAAAACAACAGAGGGAATAGAAGCAAATACTGTTGAATGATGCTGCACGGCGGAGACTGTAATCATTGCAATGAAACAATGCGTGTAAAGCTGGTATTCTCTCATGTAAACTATCACTCAATTCACAATAAAAACTTTAAAAAAAAATGCTAAGGTTCAAAAGCATTGATAGCAATATACTTTTAAGAACAAGAATCCTCAGTATTTGAATCATTTTTTCTAGCTTGATATATTGAAACTTTAAGGCCATATAACAAGAAAAATATAGAGTTGATGAATAATGCTGTATGACAAAAATGTAATTTGTGTATCAGTTCTTTTAGTAGAAAGTTGGAAAAAACTTGTTTGCATTATTCAGTAAATGTGAACATCTCACTATTTTTCTTAGCTTGATGAACTCAGTGCTAATTCAACTGCAAGACTGAACTACTTTATAAATTCCATTGCTTCTGAATACATTCTTCTCTTAAGCAAAGTCAGTGATCCTCTGTTACTACCTAATTCATGTAATTAAAATTAGAGCGAAAAAAAAATACATGAATCCTTTGAAAATTGTGCTAGTGAATGTGTGTCAAGAAAAAGAAGAGTATATTGTGATAGAATTGTTTGTGCTTTTTATTATAATTGAATTTATAGTAGAAGAGATTTTTTTTTAATTCTTTAAACAGATGGTCATAATCCCTGCTATTAAATATTTTCACTGATTAAAATTCTGGGGCAAAATTTCCCTAAGTAAAAAAACAAAACTGTGAATGAGCCACATGGCGTGTTTGTTGCTATTTTGGTAAGAAACCAAAAAAAGGGGAGGGTATATGCCTTGAGTCACCAAACTTCAAGCCAAATCTAGCCATTGGTCTGTTTTTTATGTCCTATGAACCAAGACTGGTTTTAATATTTTTTAAGATATCTTTTATTTATTTATTTTAAAGAACGTTGTTGTTGTTAAGTGCTGTCAAGTCAGTTCTGATCACTATGGTCCTGTGTAAGATTTCCTAGGAGAAACTGGTGGGTTTGAACAGCTGACCTTGTGGTTCATACAAACTTAGACCTAAATGATGGTTAACAAAACTTAAAATAGTTACTCTTTGGTCATTTACAAAGAAGGATCAACCCCTGTTTGCATGTGCATATTTATGCTTATCTATTCACCAGCCTTTCCTTGGGAGCCCTATACAGGGTTGTTATGAGTCAGAACTGCACTTAACAACAACAACATACATTGCATGACTTTTGGGGAAAATAAAACAAAAAAATGTAATAATGGTATTGCCTATGAGAAATGGGTCTTCTATTTTATACCTTTTTTATATTCATTTTTCATTTTTCATTTTTTCACAATGTGCATGTATAATATGTTCATAAGTATATATATGTTTTCATACCAAAATAAAAGATTCTGCTCAGAGGAAACACTTGGGTTAGGGGTTGTTTGTGCAAGTAGCTTTCAGCTCCTGTTGACAAGATGAGTTGATGAGCCATAGGGGCCAGAGTCAAGTTCTTTTGGTTACTCTGTTTTGTGCTCCCTCCTTAGGTGTTTAGAAACCATCTTTGAGGAACCTAAGGAACGAAATGGTACGCTTATCTCTATCAGTCAGCAGAAGAGAAAGCGAGTTCTAGAATTTCAAGATTTCACTGTCCCACGAAAGAGAAGAGTTCGTGGTAAAGTCAAGATGGCAGGCAGCTTTACCAGGGCCCAGAAGGCGGCTCTCCAAAGTCGAGAGCTGGATGCGCTTTTGATACAGAAACTAATGGAACTGGAGACCTTCTTTGCCAAGGAAGAGGAACAGGAGCAATCATCAGGTTGCTGAGAAGCAATTCAGTTGAGGGGGCTCGATTTTGTTAGTTGGGCCTCCTTGGAAGTGGTTGCCTGATTTGCCCTGCCACCCAAACCACTCAAAATGCACAGTCCATGGATATCTGCCTATTTCAAGGTGCAGACTTTTTAGTGACTGGTGAAGGAGGGTCCGCTACTTCTACTGCTGAGTGAAGAACCTCAGGAATGCTCCCTTTCTCCTGGAAATGGTCCTGAATGACATCTGGCCTCTTCTTCCCCCCGTTTCTGCCATCCACAGGAGGAGGAAGCAGCAGATCTCAAGTAACACTAGGATTCCAAGGACACCTAGCATTTGCACATCCATATGAAAGTTCTGCATTGTTTACGGTGGTGCTAGACCAAGATGAGTTAGAAACGTGACCAAAGGAGTGGACCTGGCGTCCTGTCCTTTGGGGTGTCACGTGCTCATTTTAGCAGTTGAGGGAAGATGAGCTGTTGTGTTTTCTAATCCTTTGAGTCTGTCTGCCCAGAATCTGGGAGGGGTGTGTGTGTGTGTGTGTGTGTGCATACGCACGTGGCTTTTCCCCGTCATTTCCTCCCCTCTGTGACTGTATATCACTAGTGCCAGAGGAGCCCATCCAGGCCCCCATTTGAAGTCAGTTGCACTTTTTAATGTTGGGATGTTGATGATTTTCATTTATTCCCTCCTCCCCCTTTTTTTTTTTTTTTTTTTGTATTTTTACTGCTGCATGTTTGGAGCCTTCAAATGTGATTTTTAGCTTTTTTTTTTTAGACATCAAGGAGAAACACAGGATATGTCTTAAGAATCTATGATCGGCATTTGACCCAGTTTTTGGTGCCTGGTGTGGGATGATTGATAATTTTCCTATTTACATGTTTTAAGCGAGCCCTTCCTCATCTCCACCTTCTAATGTAACTCCTTGCAGGGAGAGCGCTCTTTCACCTGGGTTCTCATTCTTGCCCACTAAATAGATGTATTAATTTTCATGACATACAAGAAAGAGCAGGTTTCTCTTCTAATCATTTTTACAAAAACACTAAGATTGGGTGTGGTGTTAACAGGCCTCATCTGAAGCACTGGTGTGTCACTCTGGTGGTGACAAAGATGGCCCTGAGTGTTTGCACCTGCTCTGAGCATGGGAGAAGCAGGCAAGTGGTTGCTCAGATCCAGTGAGATGCAGTCTTACATGGCATCATGAAATTCCACAGCCAGCTCTCTCAATAGCACGTCACTGTATTCTGGGTTCCTGTGTCAAATGTACTGGAAATGATGTAGAATGTCGGATTTAGCAGAATTTCTTCTTTGATGGTGCCTACAGTAGTCTGTGGGCAGAAGGATGCTGTGTAGGTCAGAGGCCCAGAGATCTCCTCCCTTTCCACCAATTCCCTGTGTGCCCCTACCTAGCTCCCATCTCTCCTGCCCTTGTGCTTTATCTCCCCTCTCTCGCCTTCCCTCTCACTCACTCTCAGAACAAGAGCTCAGAGAATGACCATTCCTTGCCTGGTGAGTGGGATGCTGATGCAGCCTCCTCAGGACACAGTCCACCTCCCATCCTCTGGGAGCCCCTGCTGTGGGAATTGTGAACGCTTAGGAGACGCTGTCCGTCAGTCTGTTGGAGAAGCATCTCTCCTAGGTGTCTTTTTTCCTCCCACATTTGTTAGTGGGTGGGTGGGGGTAGGGGCCTTTGTGTGCCTTTCCTTTGCAGGTTGACAGTCAATGCCATGCCAGAGCAACGGACATGCCTAGAAAAAGGAAAGACAAGAATAAGTGCCACAGCTGCCCTTTCAGCCCACGGCCTCTGACATGGGGCTTAGGTCACCAAAATGCACTCTCGTCATCTCTAGAGGCTTTTAGGGCCATGGGCAGTTGGATTAGAAGAGAGCCCAGTGTAGTGTCCACACTGGCTCCAAATGATGCTAACCCGATTCTGCCATTCTCCATCAACTGTGCCCAGACTGCGTAGACATGACCTGTGATTCACCTCAGTACCTCTCCCTTCCTGGGACAGGCTTCTTCTCTACTCAACGCTTCTCTCTGTCCTTTCAAATTGGGGAGTGGAATGAGGAAAATACACGGTCCTTGTGCAGACATTTATAGAGAGCTTCGGCTGGGCAGCTTGCTGACTACCAGGGCATTGACAGATCCCTGTGTCCCATTCCATTCCCTGTGCAGAGAGGTCCGTCAGGCAACAGCCACGTCATCCAGAAACGGAAGTTGAGGTGGTCTCGGCAACATCACCGAGAGAACAATCTCAAGTTTGTTTGTTCTCGGTGTGGTGCTTGAAAGGGTCAGGATCAGTGATTTGGAATATGGACATCTGGAAATGAAGAACTGGGGGAAGATGGAGACCTGGGCTCTTAGAAATCCTTCCAGTCCTTCCTTCCCCTGGAAATCTAAGGGAGAAGCTCCTCTGAGGCCACCCCTCTAGGCACTTCCGAGTCCAGAGAGTTGGGATTCCTGACCTGTAGTTGACATGGTGGATTTTAGCTATGCTCTGTCACATCTGTCTTTTCTTCCAGTTTAGCCATTAACCTACCAAGTCACAGTGCTGCCAGTGGTTCCTCGGTGCCAAGCCTGTTGGGGCACCTGCCCACGAAGGGAAAGGTTCATCACCTGCTGGCGTGCTCCCTGGTCATAAGCTACAAGAAGTTTGGTTTGAGAGTGTACAGTGGTATGGGGACTAACCATCCCAGGTGGTAACTTACTCAACTATAGCTCACCTCCAGAGATTTAGTGTCCTTTAATATGGGAAAGTGAGAAGAAATCTCAGGTCCAATCAGGGTTATGCCCATCAACTTATCACGGAAATTTCCCCCCCTTTCTCCCCCATTCCAGTTTATAGCTGTATTTAGCTTGCACTCTTCCTCCCCCACCCCTTTCTGCTCCCTATGCCCCTCCCAGTCCTCCCCTCCTCGATCTTAGACTCTTTTTGTCCTTTAGGTCTCCTTCCGGTGTCGTTTCTCCATTAGTTTGAACGTACCTCAGATCCTGTTAAAGCAGATTATGTCCACTTTTTCTTACTGACCTTACTCACTCTAAAGAGTGCCACGGAGGGAGGTACAGTAGAAAGACACGGAATATTTGCCTTACTCAGAGCCCGAAGAGCTCCGAAACACATGCTGTGAATCCCAAAATTCAGCGCTCCTCCTAGAGCTGTGAAAAATCATGACACTTGGTCACAATTTTGCCTGAAAGGGTCTTTTGCGTGGGCACCAGAGCCAACCTGAGCTCAATCCCAGATCCTGCTGTCTGAGCACTATACTTCCATCCAGCTCTTCCCCCGGCTGCCTGACTGAGGGCAGCCCCAGAGGAGCAAAACTGCAGCCACAGAGCGAGGGCTTCCGTGCCAGCTGATGGGGTGCAAAGCCAGCACCCCACCTCGAGGCTGTGGTTCCATCTCATAATTGATACCATGTTCATTAAGATCCATGAAAGACCAACTTTTAGGCAGTGAAACTTTTCTCCCATGCCAGTGGGAAAAGTATACAGTTGGTGCTTTCTTTAATTCCCTTGGAGATTTTGTTCTGCTTTGTGTTTGTAAGCTTTTCTTTCCCCTGGTATCATGGAAAGGACCTCTTAAATATAATTGTAGGTGGCTGTATCCAAAGTATGAATAATTGTCCAGAAGTGTGGAGTATCATTTCCTAGTTTCAAGCAAGGGAAGGGCTCCATGACAGAACTGAACTTATTTATTAAGCTGAATAGTGAAAATACTTCGTTTTACTGAAATCAAAGTTTATTTTACCACATAGCCACAAATTGAGCAGAGAAGCTATTTTGACAGTAAAGTGGGAGATCCTATGTAGCTCATCATCTAATTAAGCGTACTCTCAAATTTGATGCTTATTAATTATGTATTTTCACAAGCCCCTCTCTGGTGCTGAATTGGATTTGAATTCTTGGTGAGAGGCCTCAGCATTTCCTTGAGCTGGTCTGGGCCAGTAAATAGCTGCCTGAAGTGTTTATATATTATCATGGTCAATAGTTCAGTGAAATTTGTACATTTTTGGTAACATTGGTATACATGATACCCCTGCAATTTCTTTTCTGTTTGGTAGTTTGTGACTCTTAAAATTCCCACTGTTATGTGTGTTAATTTATGATAATAAATTTTTTTTAAACCTTTCAAATTCTGATGGCTTGAAATTATAGGTATAGATTTTACCTGTAATTTTATAAAGGTGTTTTTTTTTTATGTTACAGAGTTGTATGTCACAACAAACATTGTTCCTTCCAGTGTGGTCAGAAGTAAGTATCAGTAATTATAGTGAATATCAATGGACTTAATGCTCCAGTCAAAAGCCAGAATGTACCAATGAGATATATGAGAAAGGAACTAACTGCACTCTACCAGAAACATACTGATGCCCAAGGACACACATAAGTTGAAATGAAAGGATGGGAAAAATTTACAAAACAAGAGTTGAGGTGTCAACCTTAATACCAATCAAAGTTGACTTTAAGACAAAATCTGTTAGAAGAGATAAAGTTGGGTGTTAAATCATTATAAAAGTATCTAATTAATATAAACATGCAACCAATATGAACATGTAAAGCAAACACTTGACAGAATTGAAATTAGAAACAGCACTTCAACAATAGTTGAAGACTACCATTTTAAATATTGAGCAGAACAAGGAGACAGGACCTGAGTAACTACTATAAATCATAAAAACACTTGAGTGAATTAAAGTACAATATACATTTTACTCAAGTGCACCTAGATCATTTTCCATTTTAGACCATATAATAAGTCTTGAAATTTTTTTAAAGATTAAAATCATATGAAGCATTTTCTCTGGTTACAGTGGTGTGAATCCAGAAACCAATAACAGGGGTGAACCTGGAAAATACACAAACTTAAGCTGAAACAATATAAACAATGAGTCAAAGAAGAAATCACAAATTTCTTAAAAGTAAATTGAAAATTTACTTTTGCCATAGAGGCAAGCAATCGTTCCTTCTGGACAAACCCCCTCTAAGACAAACTCAAAGGGAGCACATGAACAGTC